CTTTTCCCAGGAGATGACAATACCAACCTTACCAAAGACCACACACACAACAGTATTGTCGGCCTCAACCCAAATCATACGACATAACTAGGAGTCGTGCTAGAATCCCTAAGCGCAGACAAAATCAAGCTCAAGCAACCACCTCCCACCCACCGGGTAATAAACAATTTTGAAACGTTGGTTGAGGGTCTGCAGGACCTCCCCTTGAATCCACTGCCTACTTGCCTGTTTGGCCACCGCCTCCAGAGTTTCCAACATGCCTGGCAGCGGATTACACAGGACTGCTGGGTCCTCAAAATAGTTCAGTCCGGTTACTCTATCTCCTTTATATCCTACCCTTCCCCTTTCCCTGTCCCTCTTCAGGGACCCCTCTCACGAGCACTCACTTCGCGTAGAAGTAGCTCACCTTCTACAACTACGCGCAGTGGAAACTGTGCCGACACAACATCGAGGGAAAGGGTTCTACTCCCATTACTTTCTGACTCAGAAAAAGACCGGGGGATGGAGGCCTATACTGGACCTATGCCGATTGAACAAATTCATGAGGATACAAAAATTCAAGATGGTCACACTGGGCACAATAATTCCTGCACTGGATCAAGGGGGCTGGTTCACAGCCCTTGACCTACAGGATGCTTATTTTCATATACCAATTCATCCAGCTCACAGACGTTTCCTACAATTAACAGTTGGTCACGACCATTTTCAATACAGAGTTCTTCCTTTCGGCCTTTCCACAGCGCTGAGAGACTTTTTTCCAAGACTCTAGCCGTGGTTGTGGTTCATCTCCACAGACATGGAATCGCGCTTTTTCCCTACCTGGACGATTGTCTCATCAAGGACAACTCCTATGGCGAGACACCTCAAGCTGCCCATTTTGCCATCTCTCTCTTTCACAGCCTAGGCCTCCAAATAAATGTCCAGAAATCCACCCTGACACCTATCCAACAGATTGAGTCCAGATGAGCTCCAGTGAACTCTATCTGAAGCAGAGCCTCACTCCCAAATCGCAGATTCTTCACTATCACACAACTGATATGCACGCTCTCTATTCGTCCCAGGACACAAGCAAGAATCTACCTACAGCTCCTTGCTCACATGGCAGCCACCACCTTCGTGGTCCAGCACGCCAGGCTACACCTGAGATGTCTTCAGGGCTGGCTCAACTCCAACTTCAAACTCAACAGAGACACCTTAGGGATGCTGCTAACTCCTCCTCCCAATGTTCTAGCTTCCCTACACTGATGGAGAAGACTAGAAAACCTCTGCACGGGCGTTCCCTTCCAGCAATGATCCCCAACGCTCATGCTCACCACGGACGCTTCCCTAATTGGCTGAGGAGTGCATCTAGGGGGACACAGAACACAAGGCCGGTGGTCTGCATCAGAGATGCACCTACACACAAATCTCTTAGAGCTCAGAGCAGTGCGACGAGCATGCCTTCACTTTCTTCCCCTCATAAAGAACAAATCTGTTCGGGTCTTAACAGACAACATAGCATGTATGTACTACATCAACAGACAAGGGGGGGGGGGGCCTGATCACATTCCCTTTGCATGGAAGCCATCCAACTATGGAATTGGTGCACACAACATCAGTATTAATCATTGCCTCATACGTACTCAGCTGCCACTGCCGATGCACTCAGCAGGCACTTTTCGACAGAACATGAATGGGAACTGCACCCCGCACTACTTCAACAGCTCTTCTCCCTCTGGGGCACCCCGTCAATAGACCTCTTGGCCACAACCCAGATTTGAAAATGTTGCCTGTTTTTGCTCCAGAGCAGGACTCGGGACTGCATCCCTAGGAGATGTGTTCCTCATCCCATGGACCAACTCTCTCCTGAACGCCTTCCCACCAATCCCTCTGCTACACAGGGTTCTTTGGAAGATCATAGACGATAATGCACGGATCATACTTATTGCCCCGGCTTGGGCCAGACAGTCGTGGTATCCTTACCTACTCCGCATGTCCTCCTGTCAAAAACGGACTCTCCCACCATAAAATGATTTCTCACAGGCCTACAAAATCTCTACCCATAAATTTACCCAACAGCAGCTACATGGAATCTTAACCTCATTCTTCATGGTCTTATGAAACTGCCATTCAAGCCCTTGGCGACCTCGTCTCTTCTTCATATGTCCATGAAGGTAGCTTTCTTAGTTGCAATAACATCAGCAAGGAGAGTAGGCGAAATAAGCACCCTGATGGCCTATCCTCCATAAACAACCTTCTCCAAAGACACAGTCACTCTGAGACCACATCCTAAATTTTTCCCTAAGGTGATATCCACCTTCCACCTTAACCAACCAATATACTTACCTGCTTTCTATCCTAAACCTCACTAGACTCCTCAAGAGGCAACCCTGCATACTCTCGACATCAGGCGAGCAATTGCTTTTTATTTAGACAGGATTAAGCCATTCTGTAAGTCTCCACGACTCTTAGCTGCACCTTTCGATCTTTCAGTAATGGAGACAATCTCTAAGCAACGTCTGTCCAAGTGGATCTCTAACTGCATCAGATCCTGTTATAGTACTCAAAATATTCAACCTCCCAAAGGCATTGGAACTCACTCCACTCGAGCTATGTCGACATCCATTGCCTTCCTACATAACGTTACCGTTCCTGACATCTGTAAAGCAGCTTCATGGTCCTCTGAACTCACATTTGCCAAACACTATGCTATCACGCAAGATACCATGGCAGACACCATAGTAGGCCATACAGTACTCTCTACAGTACTCACTGCAGCATCTCCAAAGTCACACTGACCATAGTGGGTTCTGCTACACATTCACCTACAGTGGAGCACCCACAGGGACAGCACTCGAAGGAGAAGAGAAAGTTACTCACTTTGCAGTAACTGAAGTTCTTCGAGATGTGTGTACCTGTGGTTGCTCCACTCCACGCCCTCCTCCCCTCTACTTTGGAGTACTAGTATGATTTCTCCACGGTAGAGAAGGAACTGAGGAGGGTGTGGGACGCACGCACTCAGGAAGATTCCAATGAGATGGGAGATACCAACTGAGTGCGTGCATCCCGACCAGGCACTGGTACTGAAGATCTCCGATCAACGGCGCCGGGACGCACCGTCACCTGGAGTGCAGCACCCACGGGACACACATCTTGAAGAACTTCAGTTACTGCAAGGTGAGTAACTTTCTCTTCTTTGTTCCCAAGCCAGGAGTTACATTTAGAAACATCCTATTTCTGTCTCAAGACTCCAATCCTGAAATGTAAATGAGCAAAACTGAAGTTCAGATTGTAAAAGTGGCTTTGCACAAAGTGTGTGGAATTGTGTTCTGAAATAAATGAAGTGACTGCTGAATAATAACTGTAAACCAATTTTAAATCTATTTTAGCCCCTTGTAGAGCATCTCTCTACTGCACAGTTATCCCCCAAGAGTGCAAGAAATAGAAATCATATTCTTGGTATTTTTGCAGTTTGGCAAATAAAGTGTAGAGATGTTGCCCTAGCTGATAATGCTGACTATACCCACACACTCACTCTCGCTACTACTGCAGCCACATAGCAGTTTGCATATTGGTTTATGAGAGGCCCTGGAAATGTTTTTCTCTGGGTCTTGCTTCAACTGTTTACCACACAATAGGCAAGTCAGCAAATATTGTGTGTGTGTAATGTAGCAATCATTAAATTACACTAAGAGAAATGTGTTTGGTTTCCTGACAATACCATGTAAGAGGGAAGGTAGCCCATGAATACAATGAAGGATGAGACTGTGTCTTACTAATGATGTTGATGGTTTATGTGGCTGGGCCCTGGGTTTAGGAAAATCTGTTTTGGAAAGGGTTGCCACGGTCAGTGCTGCATTCCTGGCACCCCTTTACCTGATAGCCAACTGAAAATTGTCGGCAGACTCCAGAGGGATTACCATCCAATCCCTTGCAGTAATGCAAGGCCTTGATTGGGGTGGCATGTGGGGGGAGAGGAGAGTACAACAGGAATGTGAAAATCACCACGGGGAAAGTGTGTATGAGGTGGGAATCATTAATTCCATTCTATTTTATTGTAGGCATATTGTGCGAAGGTGAACTAATGGCCTGTTTAGTTGATGGGGCGGGGAGGCTGAACTTCAGAAGGAAGAACTTTTTTCTTTTTCTGAGGTTTTCAGATACTTTTTTAGATGAAATGTGATCACAGTTGTTGTCACTGATCCAAGACAGCCTCCAGGGCACTTTGATCTCTGATATTGAGTGTACATGCTGGAGTAGACCAAAAGTTTTGCTGTGAAGAAAGCAGCATGCTGCGAAAGCAGTTCTGGTGTTCATTACAAGAACTGTCTGCAAAACAAATTCCACTGCCTAAATTGGGATGTTGAGACATTCTGCCCAAACAGAGGAAACATTTGAGTACAGTAGCTCTTTACATGTTGGGGACAACTTTAAAAAAAATAACAGTTTACATCAACACAGATTGGCTTCTATAAGTGGCAGCCAAATGTTAAATACTTCACAATTTTCAGCCAATCCAAAAAGTCTTGCTGGTGTAAGTCTATCTTGGCCTATCTGAGCCTTGGTCTTCAAAGTTTAAAAGAAAAAAAAAGGTAAATCTCCCAACATGAGTGAAGCACACTTAGTCTACTTTGAGCCACTTTATTAGTTGCTGGTAGTCATAGGGCAGTTGTTGATATTACTAATGATCATAAAATTACCTTTTTCCCCTGAAGTACCAGGGCAATATTGGCAAGTCAACTTACAGTGACTAGTCATGTAACCAGATGAGTCATTCTTCAAGCTTTATAGTTATGCCTTTTCCAGTGTTTGAAAGTTTCTTGGGGCCTGACTCAGGAGGGAAGAGGATCATATTGACTTTTTCCTGCCCATTTCATTTCTGAGGGTGTGTAATTTTTCACAGCTCTGTTGTGAACCAAGTTGGCTGTATTAGGTTCCATATTTGGGTTGTGTTCTAACAAGATCGGAAAGATTTGAGCAGATGGCCTGCTTCTAACATTGATCGTAGTGTCTGTTCACAGGAATGCCCAAAATGCCATGTGACCATTGAAAAAGATGGAGGCTGCAACCACATGGTCTGTCGGAACCAGAACTGTAAAGCAGAGTTCTGCTGGGTGTGTCTTGGCCCTTGGGAGCCACATGGATCTGCCTGGTAGGTTTAGAACCTTAATTTGGTGGAAGGATAGGGCAGTTATATTGCCAACATTCTACATGTTTTAACTTCAGTCCATGAACTCAGTCTTTGTCTTTTTTTCAGGTACAACTGTAATCGCTACAATGAGGATGATGCAAAGGCAGCAAGAGATGCACAGGAGGTGAGTACATAACTCTTGGTGGGCATTGAAAGAACATCTAGTTTTGAGGAACATTTTCTTTTGGGCTTCGTAAACCTTTAACTACCATATATTGTTACTTCTTGTTAAAATACACAAATAGTGAAGGTTGACAGTTAACCTCCAAAAAACATTTAAATTTGATCACAACAACGAAATCTTCCTTTTGGGATAAGGTCAATGTACGATGTCCTCAGAACATTTTAAACTGTGCTATTTGTCATTCTTGTTGCCTGCTGGTTTGCTGATTGCATGCATCACATTCACTGAGATGTTCGTGAAAGGCAGGCTCACTGAATAGAAGTCCTGGGTATGCATGCAGCTGAGTTAAACATTGTAGTGTGAATATGGGTAGTACAACCAGGAGGACTCTCACAAACAGGGAGGGATTGCACCCTGTGTACAGCAGATTGCAGCAATTCATTTCACCCACTTTGGCTAAGTATTCCTATAGCTGGTAACTAGCATATTTCCTGAAACACCCTGTACTACAAATGGCTGTAACATGTACTGAAGTATATAATAAGCCGTCTTCTGTACATCATATTTATCCTGTGCGTGTCATTAGTACCTCAGCTAATCTGCCAGTGAAAAGAAAACTAGGATGCATGTGATTCATGCTTGTATTATTCATCAGTGATGCATTTCTCCATACTAAATATATGCACCTCTTTCCCATACTCTGAGATTAGGTTTTTCCTTGATATAGTGTAAATATCAGTATAGTGAAACTATTTAATTTTTTTATCTCTAGCTGCTAATCTGAAAATGTAATTTAAAAAAAATATTTTTGGCTGTACAATCAATCTTGGTCATAAGTATTATTTCTTACAACCACATTGTAGTAACCTATAACCAGCACTTAACTTGGAAGGGTGTAAATCAGTGTTCTAATTAGGATATTAATTTCCTTTGTGGGTTGGACCCAGAGGTTGCAGTCAGGATAAGGCCCTTGTGTGCTGCGCTGTACACACATACTGGAATGAAATGACCCCACAGCGTATCGCTTCCTGTTAAATTCCTGAAAACAATTGTTGAATGTCCATAAGGAGATGATTTTGACCATCCCAATGGTCTATCGAGTGTCTAACAACTTTACAGAAGATGTGGGTTTACTTTGTGGGTCTAACAGCATGGAATGGCAGGGATTAGCAGTGATGCTGAGACAGAGATGAGATTAATCACCATTCTGGTCTGGTTGGGGTTTTGAGTGACAATCTTATTTTCCACTTAGAAGCAGTAGTGGCCACAAAGGATCGAAGGTTGAAATGGGGGCAGATATCTTCAGGTATCCAATGGGAACAGAGGGCCTCCTTTAAAAAATAAATAATAAAAAAGTTCTTCCTTAGATTTTGTGTTTTGGGTGCCAGCATGCACGCAGTCTTGTGCTTCCTCTACAGGTAGCTGGCTTTGTAAGGACATGCATGCTAACTAAGGTCTTAGCTTGTATGCCTACTTCTCAAGTGCCATTTAAAGGGTATGTAATACCAGATGACCCATAACAATACAATACAGATCAATACAGATGAGCTGTATCAATCCTCTGATACAGTTGCCTAACTCTTCCCGTTATTAAAACTTTTCTGGCAGTTTTTTTGAGCTGCTCTAATGTCGTCTTGGTTTGCAGCAGGGATTTGAAATCTGCCAAGGGATGGCCCTGTGGTCAAAGGGGTGCCTTTTGCTGCTTGGCAAAAATCCACTAAGGGATTGGATAAAATGAGCTTTGAAGGATAGTAAACTGTTTAGGGCCAACCCTGGCGGGCTAGCCTGCCTTTCTTGAGCGTCTTTAATGCTGTAGGGACAAGGTGGGTGCCTGTTTAATATTTAATGCTGAACAAAATTCCCACTCCTGGTTTCTACTCCCCACATTTTCTTGTGGTCACATGTGCATACAACAAAACCTCTGGCTGGGGACACACCCCTGCTCTTCCTTCTCCTGCTGCTGACATGGCCTCTTCCTTGTTGATCTCAATATCTTTTGACTTAAGGCCTGAACTCTTTGACCGCATTCCCTCTCCCATAACTAGATGGGAATGGGAGGCCCAAAACTTCTGTTGTAACCTGGGGGTCCCCCCCCCATTCATATATATATTTGATTCCCGCACCTTCTGAAACTCTGAAGTGGGTCATGACCTAGAAAAGGTTGAGAACCATTGACTTAAATGAAGATACACTTGGCTGGGAGCAAGTGAGGTTCTGGAGTGATGTTCTTCTTTGAGTGATAGCTCATGTGTATTCCACAATAGGTGTGCATGCTCGCCACGTGCACTGGTGCTGGAAGTTTTTCCCCTAGCAGTACCCAAAGGGGAGTGCCCCTAGCGATCCCTGGAGTGGAGCCTACATGGCACTGTATAAGGGGTACTGCGCACTCCCCCTACCTTCAGTTCCTTCTTGCTGCCAGTGAAGGTGCTTTGGAACTGCTCTGCTCCAGCTTGTCTGCAGCTTTCCTCTAGAACTCTTCGTTTGTTCGTTCGTTGTAGTACTTGTAGTTGAAGGAGTCAGATTAGTTTAGTGCACCTGGGTCCGGGCTTTAAGTTTTGTGACACTTGTAGGTGGCCGATGCCAGTGAGTGATCTGCATGCAGATTGTTTGCGCTGTCTGGGGGAAACCCATCTCAGTGATCGCTGGAAGATTTGCAGATCTTTCAAGCCTTGGACCAAGAAAGGGACATTCGGCTCGGGGCTATCCTGATGGAGTCGGCATTAACCGCAACTCCAGTGCGCCGCTCCGAGTCAGCACTAGTTACGGTGTCGGTGCACGGCAACCCCTCGGTGCCATCTACCAGTCGGCACCACTCCCCATCAGTGGGGCATGCCAAGAAGGCTAAGAAGAGGCCTTCTCCGCTGCGGCACCAGAGCAAGACCAGGGGAGAGGCTAAACCCATGTTGGGCAGTCCTTGGTCCCCATCAGCCTCCAGGCCTCCAACTCAGGTTGAGCGGAGTAGCCCAGCCCATTTGGAGCAGGCTTCCCCAGATGTCCAGATGCCCTCCACGCCGGAGGCCCTGCAAGCGGTCCAGGACATTATGTCCCTGCCAGTACCACGGGGACCACCAACTCTGGCTCCCTGGTCCAGAGGCAAGCCACCACTGGGATCTCTACAGTCGCCCCTGCTCGGTACTGTTTGCGGTAGAGGGAATGTTCCCGACGCTGTTCGCTGCTCAGCGACCGCCCCGTGCGTAGTCCACGCTGGTCATCGTTGACCCCTACCAGGTTGTCTGGCTGGGTTCTGACTAACAGGGGCTCCAGGCACCGCTCTGCCTCGAGGAGCGGGCCCCGTTGAGACTGAGACAGATGGCACCAAAAGCCCTCATCTCCGAGGGGCTGCTGTAGCCAGTCGCTACACAAACATCGACTCTGTTCCCATTCATCGTCTCGCTCCAGGACCCCACCATGGCACCGCTCCTGCAGTCCTGGGCATCGATCACCGGCACCTCGCTGTCATGGATCCGCCCACTGGAGCCGATCGTGGAGCAGCTTCTACCTGCGGTACCATTCCTCCATGTTGGGATTGCGGTCTCGTGGTCGGCACCGTTCCCAACGACGACTCTCCTCCTGGTCCAGTGACAGGGACAGCGACAGGTCGTATGCCATCCCGGCCTCCCTTCATAGCCGTCAATCGATAGGACAGGCCAGTCAGGCTGAACAGCCTGCTCCGCCAGTACCAGAGCATGTGCAGTGGCACCGGGCTTCTTGGCTGGCACCATGGTACCAATGGGCCCCGTGGCCCCGACGCAGCCCCTGGTCGGGGCTCGCTCAGTGGCCGGAGCCTCGGAACAGCCGTTGACCTCTCTCTCGCAGCCTCCTTGGAAGGAGTCGGTGGGATGTGCATCTTCGCATCCATGACCAGAAGGCTACCAAGTGGTGGGACCCCCGGTACCGGTGGGTACGCAGAGTACTGCGCCCGCCTCCTCACCCTCCCCTGATTAGGCGATTATGGCCCCTCATCCCTCTGTCCCTCAGGAGGACTCTAAAGCCCACCAGGAACTACTGAAAAGGGTGGCATCAAGCCTCAACCTTCAGGCCGAGGAGGTTGGAGGAACCCTCAGACTCCCTCTTCAATGTCTTGTCAGCCTCGGTACTGGGCAGAGTGGCTCTCCCACTCCCCGAAGGGGTGGCAAAAATTTCAAACGCCTTGTGGCAAACCCTGGCTTCCTTGCCTCCCATCTCTAACAGGGCTGAACGGAAGTACTTTGTGCCCGCCAAGGGGTATGAATACCTGTACACCCACCCTGCCCCCAACTCCCCGGTGGTCAAGTCGGTCAACCACAGGGAGCTTGACTTATTTGGGGGAGGGGTTTATTTGTCCTCGAGCTTCCAGTTAAGGGTGGCGAACCATCAGGCTCTCCTGGGTCGGTATGAGTTCAATTTGTGGGGCGCTCTACCCAAATTGGAGGACTCCCTCCAGAAGCGTGATGGGAAGGAGTTCAAAGCTCTGGTGGAGGAGGGTACGGCGGCTGCCAGGGCAACCCTATAGGCAGTGTCAGATGCAGTAGATACAGCTGCATGGTCTATGGCTTCTGCGGTGTCCATGAGGAAGCTCCTTGTGGCTTCTGCTGTCTAGGCTGTCCAGTGAGGTGCAGAACTCCTTGCAGGACCTCCCATTTCATGGCAAGGCCCTGTTTGCGGAACAGATGGACATAAAGCTGCACAGCCTGAAAGATTCCCACACTATGCTTAAGACACTTGGCCTCTGTTCCAGCTCCAGCTAGACCTAAGTTTAAGCCACAGCAGGTTCCCACCCAGGCCATCCACTCTAAATACTCTAAATACTTGTAAAAAGTCGCAGGACTATAAGAAACACCCACAGAGGCAGTCCCGGTCTGCCCCACAGCCTGGGTCTTCCAAGGGTAAACAGGCGGGGAAACGTCAGTTTTGACGGGACGTCCGGGGGCGACCTACCAGTTCACACCAGGGATCCACCCGTAATAAAGCTTCCCTTCTCCAACCGGTTGTGTGCTTTCCTCCCAGAGTGGTCGCGGCTGACCTCGAACCGGTGGGTCCTCAACACCATCTCCTGGGGCTACGCCTTCCTATTTACCTCTACCCCGCCCAACCACCCTCCACCCCCATCCCTCCTGGGTATAGAGTTTATCGGGGCGGTCCTGGACGCGACGCTGGCCAGGGCCTCCCTCCCACTGGACAGATTCGAGACCCTGAAAGGGCTTGTCGACAGTCACAAAATTTCATGTGTCTCCAGCTCCTGGGTCGCATGTCGGCATGCACATATGTGGTTCACCACGCCAGACTCAGGAAGAGGCCCCTCCAGCTCTGGTTGGCCTTAGTGTTCTCCCAGGCCAGAGACAGGATGGACAAGGTCCTCACTGTGCCCGAGCTGGTGATCGCCTCCCTACACGGATGGTCCTCCCCGGGGAACATGCTCCGCCGGGTCCCGTTCAGGGGCAGGCCCCCGTCAGTGGAGCTGGTGTCCAATGCTTCGGACCTGGGGTGGGGAGCCCATGTGGGGGATGTTCAGACCCAAGGTCTGTGGTCTGCGCAAGACCTTGCCCTTCATATAAATGTTAAGGAACTCAGGGCGGTCCGGCTGGCATGTGTGGCCTTCCTGTCATACCTGGAGAGCAGAGTGGTCAGAGTTCTCACGGACAACACGGCCTTGATGTTTTACATCAACAGGCAAGGCGTGGCCCGCTCCTCTGCCAGGAAGCCCTCAGGCTGTGGGACTTCTGTATAGCCCATGATATTTGCATACAGTCCTGCCACCTACTGGGTGCCCAGAACTCACGGCCTAAGCCGAGACTTCGCCTCTCAGCACGAGTGGTCTCTACACACAGAGGGGATGCACAGATTTTTCCAAGAGTGGAGAACTCCCCAGGTGGACCTGTTCGCAACTTGGCAGAACCGCCAGTGTCCCCAGTTCTGCTCCGGGGGGTGGCTGGGAATGGGCGTTCTCCTATGCCTTCCTCGTATCGTGGTCAGGCCAGCTTTTCTATGCCTTCTCCCTGATCCTGCTGATCAGCAAGGTCCTGGAAAAGATAAAGACGGACAGGGCCCGGGTCCTCCTGATTGCCCCGGCGTGGCCCAGGTAACATTGGTACTGGACCCTCACGACCCTGGTGGTCACTCCGCCATGGCCGTTGCTGTCCCACCCAGACCTGCTGTCCCAGGACCAGGGTCACTTCCTACACCTCACGGCATGGCTGCTCAATGGTTATGCTGGGAGGAAAGGGCATGCTCAGAAGGGGTTCAGTGCGTCCTCTTGGAAAGCAGGTGACCCTCCACACATCGAGCCTACTTGGCAAAGTGATCTTGGTTTTCCCAATGGGCGACTGAGCAGGGCGTTGCCCCTGTGGCTGGCCCAATCCAGCTCATTTTAGACTATCTCCTTTACCTTAGAGCCCAAGGCCTGGCGCCCTCATCGGTCAAGGTGCACTTGGCAGCCATATCGGCCTTCTACCCGCTGGTACAGGGGCACACGGTATTCTCCCATGCTATGACTGGCCGATTCCTTAACGAATTGGATAGTCTCTTCCCATATGTTAGGCCCCCAGTCCGTCAGTGGGACCTGAACTTGGTGCTGGCCTGGCTGACGGGTCCCCTCTTTGAGCCATTAGCTACATGCTCTTGGTCGCACCTCTCGTGGAAGGTAGCCTTCCTGGTGGTGGTCACATCTGCTAGACGGGTCTCGGAACTCAGGGCCCTGACCTCCGAGCCCCCATACACGATGTTCCATAAAGATAAGGTCCAGCTCTGCCCACATCCTCCCTCCCTCCCGAAGGTGGTCTCTGCTTACCACATGGGTCACAACATTTTCCTGCCAGGCCTCTGCCCCATGCACCCAGTGAGGAGTGCCGCCTCCACACACTGGATGTGAGACAGGCTCTGGCCTTTTACCTGGAGCGGACTAAGCCATTCAGGAAGTCTTTGCAGTTGTTTATTGCCTTGGCCGAACACATGAGGGGTCAGCCGATCTCCACTCAGCAGCTCTCCAAATGGATCACCTCTTGCATCCATACCTGTTATGATCTGGTGGGAATCCCTCTGCCATCGATTGTGAGGGCACACTCAACTAGGGTGCAAGCCTCGTCGGCTGCCTTTTCAGCCCATGTCCCCATTCAGGACGTTTGCAGGGATGCCACATGGTCTTCAGTTCACACATTCACCTCACATTGTGTGATTGTCTCCCGGACGCTGGGTTCGGCAGGGCTGTGCTCTGTCCCGAGAGTTTGTGAACTCCTACCCACCTCCAACAGATATAGCTTGGAATCACCTATTGTGGAATAAACATGAGCAATCACGCGAAGAAGACAGTTACCTTTTTGTAACTGATGTTCTTCGAGATGTGTTGCTCATGTCTATTCCACATCCTGCCCTCTTTCCCCTCTGTTGGAGTTGTCTGGCAAGAAGGAACTGAGGGTGGGGGGAACACGCAGCTCTCCTTATACTACGCCATGGAGGTGCCACTCCAGGGGTGGATGGGGCGCTCCCATACAGGTACTGCTAAGGGAAAGGCTTCCGGCACCAGTGCACGTGGCGAGCATGCACATCTATTGTGGAATAGACATGAGCAACACATCTTGAAGAACACCAGTTACGGAAAAGGTAACTGTCTTTTCCTTGCTGACTGTTGTTGGTGTTAATTTTGTACCCTTCACAAACTTTATTAAGAGCAAAGCCTCATACTCCCCTGAGATTACACAAGGTCACTTCTGACAGAACTGGGAAGAGACCTGTTATCTCCTACATAGTTGAACACAGTCTCACTTGCATCTGATGAAGTGAGCTGTAGCTCACGAAAGCTTATGCTCAAATAAATGGGTTAGTCTCTAAGGTGCCACAAGTACTCCTTTTCTTTTTGCAAATACAGACTAACACGGCTGTTACTTTGAAGTCTCACTTGCTTAACCATGCTGCCTCCCAGAAGCTGCCATATCTGCATTTGGCTGTGCTGTCTGTAAAATGGGGCAGCTCTTGCATGTATAACCCACTGCCTTCAATGTGGTGTTCATTGTCCTTCAGTGGCTGTTCCATAGAGGATAACAACCTACTCCTGCTGACAGCTACTGAAGTTACTCTATTAGCTCAGGTGCAGAAGGTCCAGAGTTCAAACCTTGTTGATAATTGGGCTAGGGTGTTAGTTGCGCAAAATAGAATGTTTTTTCTTTTTAAAAACCTACAAAAATCTACATTGGATTGTTAAAGCAAAATCAAGCACTCAGCAGTTAGTAAATGTCAGAATTAAACCTGCTATTGTGCATATGCAGTAGCACATTCCTCCATGCTCTCCTCTCTTCTCCCTGCCTCATTCAGTGCTTGGCATGACAACCCAGGTGTGCCTGTGTACTGTAAATGGATTGTATTTTAGAATGTGGTTTAATTATTCTTCTAGATGCCATGGGTTGGGATTTCCTCCTGCAGTGCTAACGCCCTCTTTGACCTGATTTTCCCCAGAGGGTGTGGACCTGCTTACTCAGACCTGCACAATGACTGGGTGTGTTTCAGTGGTGCCAGGGTCCCATCTGAGCCTGATCTATTGAAAGGCGCAAAAACATCTTCCGAATGGAAACTCTGTTCTGTTGGTCAGACTTGAATTCCTTCAGACTATTTGTTCTCTCCTAGTTTTCAGCCATTACTTTGTTGTAACTATTTATTTTATTTTCCCTAATGGGAATTAACACAGCGATCCAGAGCAGCCCTGCAGAGGTACCTGTTCTACTGCAACCGCTATATGAACCACATGCAGAGCCTGCGCTTTGAGCACAAACTCTATGCTCAGGTGAAGCAGAAAATGGAGGAGATGCAGCAGCACAACATGTCGTGGATCGAGGTGCAGTTCCTGAAGAAAGCAGTTGACGTCCTCTGCCAGTGTCGTGCCACACTCATGTACACTTATGTCTTTGCCTTCTACCTCAAAAAGAATAATCAGTCCATTATCTTCGAGGTAGGGAAAATACACTTTGTGCTCCTTACTCCCAGCAAGCAACACTACTGGGTACCATGGGGGGATTTGATCCATGGAAAGGAGTTACTCAGAGGCCATACAGATGTGGGTTTATTGAGTATTCTTGAGTGCTGGTGAGGCTGTAATAATCAGAGGTCATCTAGTATCACATGAAGCATTCCCTGCTGAGGAAAGGGGAAAGTAAAGTAAACTGGCACTGTAAATCATTGTCTAACTGCTGTCTCATGCTATACAGTAATCACTGTATTATGAGACCTACAAAAAGCAAGTTTTAGGTTTGATCTGTTGAAAGTGTCACCTAGATCTTCGCTTTAAGATTGTTTATCTATCCAATATTGCTTGGTTTCAGGGCAGTAGCAGTAAAATAGTGGTCAAAAGCCAAAACAGTCCCTGAGTCTATGCTACATAGATAGAAGCAGTGGTGGCTGTTAACTTAAAACCATACACCATTATTCATGCAGGACCTAAGCAAAATGCTGTATGGCCCTACAGTCCGTGGAAGGAGCGTAAAGACCAATATTCAAAGCTGTGCTTTGTCATTGATTATGGACTTATCAGCAAAGATGATATTAGCGTTGAGCGGAATTAGATGTATAAAGGATGGGAGGGGGGAGATTCTGCTTGCCCTGCAAGAAAAACCAAACCAGGAAACAAGCATTATGTCAAAAAATGTAAAGGAAATTTTGAATATCTGTAGTAACTTTTGGTTGAATTGTGAAATGAATTCTCCTTCTCACCTCTGATCTGTAGAGGGGCACTCTCTGAAGTGTTATCCAATCTAATTGTCTCCACCTGTTTCTCGTTTAGGTCAGGATTTCTAGACGATTTGAAGAAGTGTCTACAAAAAACTGGTCTCTTTGTCTTTGCAGAATAACCAAGCAGACTTAGAGAATGCTACGGAGGTGCTTTCTGGGTACCTGGAGAGAGATATATCCCAAGATTCGCTGCAAGACATAAAGCAGAAAGTACAAGATAAGTACAGGTACACTTTGAAATGAGTGTATGTCCTATATTGCACAGACCCTGACATCATCCCTCTGTAGGTCACTTTTGGTTTGGTAGGTAAGAGCCTGTGGAGAGTGCATGTGTAACAACCAGGCCGCAAGTTTCTCCCTGACCTTATCCCTTCCGAGAGTCTCACTCGTTGGCCTTCTGCCCTGTTTCTTGATCAGCAGCCAATCTCGTACCAGCAGCTAATCAAGCAGCAGAAGGCTGATCTCTTGCACACACACAAACCAAGCAAGCATTAGCAATGCGGGATTCCTAGTGAAGACAGGCTGCCAGCACAGTTTACAGCATAGTCATCAATCCCTCTTGGGAGCAAGTTGAACTGACTGTGATGCTGGTGGGAAGCCCACAGCAGGACTCTCAGCACTGTTAACTCCTCTTCTGTTGAGCAGTGGTGGGAAACTTTCAGAGTGTTCCTAGTGTAGATAAGGCTCCTCTGTAAAGTGTGGTTGCCTTTGGACCATGCGGTTTTTGCAAGGAAGGAGGCTCTGAAAAAGATCAAGGAAGATTCATATGTAGTGAAGGGAGAGGGATGAGTTGGTTTAATGTTGTTTTCCAATAATTTTGCCCTGAGATGAGTCAACCAAAATGTTTTTGTAGTTGGGCAGCTAGACTCCATTGCATCTTTGCTCTCCCTGACTGTAAGCTAACCAATGAATAGGATCATAGAATATCAGGGTTGGAAGGGACCTCAGGAGGTCATCTAATCCAACCCCCTGCTCAAAGCAGGACCAATCCCCAATATTTGCCCCAGATCCCTAAATGGCCCCCTCAAGGATTGAACTCACAACCTTGGGTTTAGCAGGCCAATGCTCAAACCACTGAGCTATTCCTCCCCCTCAAGGCTATAGTGAGAGAAGAGCAACATGCAAGAAAAGGGGGAGAGTCATGTACTCCCTCACTACTGCCTCTTAGAGAGATGGGGCTTAAAGGGCACATTATCCCACTGCTCCTGAAAGTCCTTGGGAAGTGCTCCTACAATATGGAAAAATAAAAACTGTAAACATAGATGGGTTACAGTATTATGGGCTTCAGTTCTAAGGCAACAGGCCAGAGTTACTAAATGTCTGATACATCTAGCAGGAAAAGCAAGCCACTGCACAAGTAAAAGGAGTTCTACTGACTAGGAAGTTTCCCCTGTGAATATAAATACTAATGATCGTATGATGGAGGTTCTGCCCATTCCTGTAGTGGCTGGCAGCACTACTAGAATGGAACATTTCCGTTAGACTCTGGTTTTGAGTAGTTTTTAACTTGTTTTGTCATTAGGCTGTTTACTTTGGCTCTGATGCAGTTGCTCTTAAAATTTATTCTGTTATCAACTATCCAAAACAGACAGGCAAATTAAGACTAAACATGGTCTGGATTGCCTGAAAACACAGCATCCAAACCCGCCTTTATATTTCTGGGGAGACCGTGTGGCCTTCCAAGCACGCACAGGTCCTTGATTAACCAGATACTACCTTAATCGTGCAGCTTTAAAGAATTCTTTGGGGAATTCCAATGAATGTCCACCTTGTTCATTCAGCTCTAGCTGTTTTTGGCCTATCAGCTTGTGATGCCCATGACATTTCTGGAAAACAGGAGTTAGAAAAAGCCAGCAAAATAACCGAAGATTGGAAAGCAATTACTGTGCATGTTCCATTATCACATGTTCCATTAAATCAGTGGGACTTTGTGCTATGATTTACATTCCAACAGCTGATACCAATGGGAAGAACTAGAATAGGTTCATTCAAATAAATCTGTCAGCTGGATCAGATGCTGAGTGTTAATGTTAAGGCTGTAATTTAAAGCAAGACAATTCTGAGTGCTGCTACTCTGTGGCTTTCCCTCTTGTTCCTAGATATGGTAGCATATGTAATCAAGGATTGTTGGCTGTTTGAAGATTCCTGCAATAGACCTACGAGACAACTTTTTTCCCCTCTGCTAATGTGTATCTTGCCTTAGCTAGGGCGACAGGTATTTTGCTTTTGCGGAGCAGAAGACTCAGCTGTGAGAGCCCTTCAGATGACACTGACAGACAAATGTGCCTGGAAACTGAACTTACAGCCCTTGTCACATGCCTCTCTACCCTCAGTGGGAGCCTTTAACTCATGAGTTGGTTCCTAAATTCTAGCTTTTCATACTGCAGCTCAACATTTTTGTGCAGCTGAATGGATTTGGCTCAGCTAATTGTTTTTCTGCTGGTGGTATTCCACCTGTGCTGTCAAGCTGCACTGATTAGCCATGGAATTAGTGACATGGTCATACCTGCTGTACTGGGAAGCAAGTAATGGAGTAAAGGATTTTTTTGTCCCTAACATGCAAGTGGGAGGGGGCAGAGGGCAGAACTTGGCATAGCCAGTGAAAAGGGATTATCTCCAGAAATGTGTCAATAAGTAGCATTAAAGGGACACTGAAGACTTATTTCTTATCTTTCTAGTTGGCTACTACATCTGAAATGAACATGATTCCTTCTGATTCATTGCTTTGCCCCAATGCCATTGATATTGGTAGGAGTGTACCTAGCTCTGGGATCGGTGTTAACTGCTGCTTCACCAACAGGGAAAACATCCTGTTTTGAATGTGTGCAGATTGGAGAGTCTTTTTAAGACATAGTGGGTAAACTTTTCAGGCACATGTGGTTGTGATTCCTAGGACAGACTCTTGGTCCAGCAAGGGTAACCAGCCATTGCTTTGTCTTTATTGCATCCATCTTTACTGTTTTGGAGCTGAACAAAATTGGACCCTGTCTTTGTGTTATATTGGCTTTTCTCGTCTGTCATTGTAACGTGGTCCAGTGGCTAGGGCACCATGCTGAGTCAGCAGAACTTGGCTTCTGTTTCCAGCTCTGCCACTAACCTGTGCTGTGCTTGTAGGTATGCCACAACCCCTCCATGTGTCCATCTTTCAGCTTGTAAAATAGGGATAATGCTGAGCTAGCTTTGCAAATGACTTCCTTCTCTGCAGATCAAAGCACTATATTACGCATGTTTATAATGTGTACCTCACAGACATCTTGATTGACTCCCAGGCCTTGTCAAACCATGTCAAAGCATGACAGTCACTTGTGTACATGCAGTTCCTAACCAGCATCTCAATGTGCTCTCCCCCTTTGCTGCAGATACTGCGAGAGTCGACGAAGGGTTTTGTTGCAGCATGTGCATGAAGGCTATGAGAAGGACCTGTGGGAGTACATTGAGGACTGAGACTGGCCCTGCATAAAATGAACTCTGAAAACTTTTACCATCTAGAGTGCTCATGCAATTAAAACAAAACACACACAAAAAGAGGCACTATGCCTATTACACCGCTGGGTCTGTAGTACCGGGATTCTGTTTTGCTAACAGAAAATTTAAGTAAATTATATTGTAATAAAAAAGGTAGATAAACCATTGTACAACAGTATTCTAGGCGGCCAATAAGAGTGTGACAGACGCACTAAAAAAACCCTCCAACTTTAACTTGTAACGTAGCTTCATTCTCCAAGCCGACTCCTTTTTTTCTTTTTCTTTCTTTCCTGTGTGTAGTACAGATGAAATTTAAACCAGTTTCTTGACACCGCTTTTCATGTCCAAACCAGCCATTTTGATGTACTTTGGTAAGGGGTTCTCCCTCTCCCTCCTCCTCTCACACACCCAAGTTCATGAATGAATGTTGATTGGCTCATTGTAAAGATGATTCTCGGGGAGGGGAGGAGGGGGGTACGCAGCAAGGAAAAAACTTTGTATATGACTTTTAAAACAAAAAGAGGACAACACAGTATTTTTCAAAATTGTATATAGCGCATATGCATGGACAAAGAGCAAGCGTGGCACGTGTTTGCATAATGTTTAATTACAAAAAAATATTTATTCTTTAAAAATCTTCAAGATTATGTCTATTTGCTGTGCATTTTCTTTGCTTTTTTTTAGCCCTGGGATTGGGGTGGGGGAAGCGTGTGTTGGTGTAGTGACTCTTTTGAAGGCTTTTACCTGAAAAGTTGAGTTTTTCCTCTTCCTGCATCTTTGATTCCCTGGCCTCCATGGTTTGTGTGTCCATTGCTGGCAACGGAACCACCCCTTCAAATTTCCAGCTCCTAATGCAAACTGATTAACTTGGTGTGCATTTCATTAGAGATGAATGTATGTTATGATTCAGGATGCTGTCTTTTTCACCCAGAATGTTACCAAAATCAGACCTAGCCATTCCCATGCACCCAGGACATGCGCTCTGAACCTGGCTGATGTTCAAATCCATGGGAAGTGTGTGTTAGGAATTTTTCTTTTGATGGAGGAAAAGGGGGATTCTCTCTTACGCCACTTCTTAAAGAGCATTGAAAGAATTCAACTGTGGATCTTTTCTCCCTCCCCCTTTAGCTATCAAATGGAACATTCCTTGCTGTTTTTAAGTTTCACTTACACTATTACAAATCGTGACGTTGAAAAGGAAGATGGTGGAATTGTCTGTTTGTTTTGGGCTCAGTTATTGGGCAAACTGTCCTGGCAAGTATTAAACACTCCATCTAGTGCAGTAGCAATTGAAATCATTGGGATATTTTTTCAATTAAAAGGGGTAAGAACTAATGAGTTTTAGCTACTGAGTCCATTTTTATTATTTCTGTAACAAGAGCTATGTTAAAGTACACAATTGGTGGTGGTTTTATTAAATTTACTTCTGTATAGGAATCCCTTCTGTGGTATTTTTCACCAGGCCAGTGTTCTAAAAGCTTGCTGATAACCTACCAAGTGAAGGGGGAAGGAATAAAGAGGGGTAGCTGAGGCAGTCTACAGAGAGGTCCCTAATATAAAACACCAGTTTCTGCTGAGGTGTTGTTAGCCATTTCCTTCAGCTTTCTTGCCCTTGGAGAGGATGCTGCTAAATGCTGACACCTACAGCAGGTTAACTTTGCACTTCCACTCCTGCTGTGCATCGGCTTCCCCTGAAAGGGCTTGTTTTCCTCAAGCCCTCTTGCAGAATTGCACTGAAGCAGAATGACCACATGCACCCTCACAACTTGTGTCCTGTACCCTTTTCTTTAGAAGGCTGCTCTGAGGGAAATTAATCCGAGGGTGTATGTCTGTACAGTGAAGAGCTCTGTTCTGACAGGCTGGGCACACAACAACGAGGACATCACTAAAGGACATCATCTGGCCTCACTTCTCATTAAAACTGCTCTATCCTTGCAGCTCTCTGCCACCCAAACTTTATTGATTGGCTCTTGAAAACATCAGACCCAAAATCTATATTTCAGGTTTAAAATGTAAATCAAAATGTTTCCTAAAATAGCATCTCCACCTGGAGCTAACTGAGGGGCACAAATAGCTGTGCTGAGTGGGTGGATGGGGGGGGGGTCCCCTGAAAAGAAATGTTCCTCAGTTAGCTGTTGAAATTTCCAGGGGTCAGGTTTTATCCTATTTGCTTACTGTCCCATCACCTGAAACCCAATGTACACATAAGAACTTCAGCTCCTAAAGATGAAGGGATTTATTGTGTTCTTAAATCTTGATCTCTGTAGACCTCATTTAAGACAACTGATTAAAACCACCATCTCCCATGTAGTGTTTATGTTCTGCATAGGCTGTCTGTCACTGTTCACTTGCTGACCCTTTATCCCAGCTTTCAATACTCTAATTCTCCATATTTATTGAAAATTATCTTTTTCAGTAATGCCAGCTGGGCAGAGTCCCTTGCCCAGTCTGAGACTGATCATTCACATCAGCTGGCAGGCCCTTCCCTTCTTTTAAGGGCAAATATTTGCAATTAGGATACATGGACTGGATGCTTGACAGCAGCAATACGCAAAATTGTGAATGGGCCTCAATAAATTACACTGGGCTAACTTCATGACAGGGTCCTACGAACAGAAAGCAGAACAGCAACACGAGTAGCTTGCCTTCAGAACCCTAAATCCCCTGTAACTCACTGCCGCTCTAGTGGTTTCTATACTATCTGGATCAATGACTGTTTTAGTACAACTGTTGCATTAGAAGTTAGTTAAGAGTGCTGTAGAGCCACCCCCACAAAACACACATACACTATCTTAACTGAGCTCTCAGCTGACCGGGCCCTATTAAGCACTTGCGTAGGGTGAGACAATCAGATTGGTGGGTGGATTGATCCAGGACTCCTAACCTCCAATTTTCCATAGAGAGAGCACCTCATGCTGTGGAAATAACCGTTAGGCAATTTCATTGTAACTGCTGGACTGTTCCATGTTAAGGTTACAGAGGGAGAGAAAGCATTCCTAATGCTAATAAACTTTTATTTTGTTATTTCATTAGTTATTTTTGTGTTTGTCATAAATTCCTCAGGTACCTTGAGTGGTGGTGTAGGTAGAGTGCCCTATTCATAGCTTGCCTGGGTGAGCTACTGAATGACACATCTCTATCTAAAATAGTGACCTTGACATCACAGTATATGTGTCTGGATTTTTCTTATTAAAGTGTTGTCACAGAGATCCTGGGCAATGCTCTGGAACTACTCCATACGAAGACAGGACTCTGGGGGAGCCTCCTCTCTGAGAGCAGACTGTCTCCAGGGCAAGAAGCTTACATAGCTTTGACCTTCCTGAGTCTGACCTCGGAGCATTCAGCAGCCCCTTCCACACCGTGCGCTTCCCACAGCACGTCCACCCATGTGGGGCTCCTTGGGAAGCCAGTGGGTCCTGCACCCCAATTCTGAAGTCAAACGTGACTCTCAGCCAGCCAGTAAAACAGAAGGTTTGTTAGACGATAGGAACATGGTCTAAAACAAAGCTTGTAGGTACAGAGAACAGGACCCCTCAATCAGGTCTGTCTTGGGGGGCAGGGAGGCCAGAGCCCCATCTGGGCCTCCCTCCATTTCCCCAGCCAGCTCCAAACTGAAACTCTCCCGCCCCTCCTCTGGCTTTTGTCTCTTTCCTGGGGCAGGAGGCCACCTGATCTCTTTGTTCTCCAACACCTTCAGTTGGCACCTTTGCAGAGGAGGGGCCCAGGCCATTAGTTGCCAAGAGACAGGGTGTCGGCCATTCTCTGTGCAGACAGCATCACACTGGCCCTGTAGGGCTCTGCAACAATCACACCCCCTTATCTCACCACCTAGATACTTAAGAAATGCCTAGGGGAAACTGAGGCACCCACACAGTATTCAGAGAAAACGTTAAGAACATTCCTACTTCATCACAAGTGTCCACTCAGATACTGATGTCAGTCCCATGGCTGAGTTGTCCAGGACAATTAAGTTTCTTAACATCCATATATTATAAACATACTACCAGTCACAGAGATGGTGGCAGCCCATAAAATCAGTAGTGCCGGTCTCCTTGAAACCCGCATGTGCGGAAAGAGGCATGTGTGTGTCAGAGCTGGGTGGCTTCCTCCAACAGTTAGAGCAAAACAGGAACAAATTGCACTGTCATTCTAGAAACGGGCCTTTTTTAGCCTCCAGTAGTTGGAGAAGCTTGCAGTTGATTAGCCTTCCTGGTGATTGATGTTTGACATCTGGCTGCAAAGAGCCATGGCATTCATACTACAGATTTCAATAATAATGCTGTTTAGCCTCTGCATCCAAAGCTGGAGTTCTTGTATTTACATGAAATGCCAGTGTCTGGGTATCATCCTCCCCTCTTATGAATTGACTACTGATTTTTCATTTGTCTCTACTTTACTTGGGGTAGGGGAAATGGTGTAATGACTTCTGAGTTCAAAAGAATAAACAATTAGATGGGGAAATGGGATTCATTCTTTTATAAGAGCTTAAAGCAATGAAAACTTTGGGGTGAGGTAATTAACCCTTTTTCAAAAATGTTTTAAATTGAGAAAATTTGAATGTTAAATGTCATCATTTCAGAATTTAAAAATCTTATGTCCCTAGTTGGTTGAAAACATCACAAAAATTCCCTGTGTGCTTTTGTGATATACTGTTCTCTGTCTAAAAGACCCACCTTCGGTAAGCTCCAAAAGGAGAGAGCAATGGAATCACTGCCCTGCCAGAACATGTGAACCCTTCTCTCCCAAGGTAAACCATACAATAAGAATACACAAGCCATTTAAACGAGCTTGCTGGGGCCACTTAGCTTTTAACACTACTAGAGTATCACTAGTTAGCCAACTTGAGCCCACTCACTGTGGGTTTTTGGTTTTAATGGCTTTCAATTTTGTCTCAGTCCAGGTCTAGCCTGTAAAGGAATCTTTGACAAGAAGTCACAAGCATGTTTTCAGTTGTCTATAGTGCCACTGATTTAGTTTGTTTGACTAGCCACTTTTCTTTCTAATTAGGCCTGGATCCTCAAAGGTATTTACATGCCTGAATGAATTTCAATAGGAGTTAGGTGCCAAGTACCTTTTGACAATCTGGCCCTTAGTGACTGCGTGCCCTTATGGGGTTCTAGGTTTATGTCTGATAGCAGCTTGAACTTGCTCATTTTATAAGTGAAAAGATTTTCTAACTGCTAGCCCAGCAATCCCAGCTTGGGGATGCATGAGTCAAGATGGTTTATCTTCTAATACAGGGGTGGCCAACCTGAGCCTGAGGAGGAGCCAGAATTTACCAATGTACATTGCCAAAGAGCCACAGTAATACATCAACAGCCCCCATCAGCTCCCCCAGCACCTCCTGTGTGCAGGGAGCCCTGCTGATCAGCACCTCCCTCTCCTTCCCCGTGCCTCCTGCCCACTGTGATCAGCAGTTTTGCAGTGTACAGGAGGCTTTGGGATGGAGCAGGGAAGAGTAAGGGTACAACAGGCTCAGGGGAGGGGGCAGGAAGGGGCAGGAGCCTTGGGGTAAGGGGTGGCATGGCCTGGGGTTGAGCAGTGGAAAGTTGGCACCTGTAGCTCCAGCCCCAGAGTCAGTACCTATGCAAGGAGCCGCATATTAACTTCTGAAGAGCCACATGCGGCTCCAGAGCCACAGGTTGGCCACCCCTGTTCTAATACATCACCACCTGCAAGAGGTTGTTCAGGTCACTCTGCATATAGTGCAGCCAATTGAGCCCATTGCTTTCAGCAGCATTATGTAGTGCAACTGAGGTCAGACTTTGGGCCTGTAGTTAAAACTTGGTAAGCAATTCTGAAAGCATAAACAAGACTAGAATCCAGCCACTTTTAGGGTTGTCAAGGGTGCTAAGGTGGCTACACAGGCCCAAAAAGGGCGTGGGAGGAGGCATTTTAGAAGTTATGGTTGCACATAGGAGGCAACTGTTAAGGAAGGTGCTATTTTCACATAGGCACTTTTCAGAGCAGAACAACAAATTTCCTTGTATTATGCTGGCCTCTCCAAACTTGCATATTGATAGTGCTTTCTATTTCTTACTAGTCTGGCTGGTTTTACTGGTGAGTGTGAAAAGTAGCCATACTTCATACATAAGCAATAACTTACTATATAGCTTGCCGGTAACTCATGGCTGATTGTACCAGGTATTGGTACTCTCTCCACTTTGTTTAGGATATGTGCCTTCAGCCACCTTGGGATTGCTAGTGTGCCAGGTAACTAGCCTCCTATGAAGGAAACCTAGGGTAGCTCTACTAAAACCTCGTTCCTTTCAGCTGCTTGAATATTTTTTGTAAACTCTCCTCCCTTAAGTTCTAACAGCATGGTGGGTGTTAGGGGTTAGGTAGAGAGAGGCATTTTCCTGTAAACCAGCAGCTGATCCTGGCAACAGATTCTAACTCAGCTGGTGGCTGCGGTTTCCATGGCAATGCTACCTTTTCTTCACAGAGCTGATACCCAGTTCTGTGAATAGAAAGGCAGCCAACAGCAGAGGTGTTAAGACTTTCACAGCCATTTCTGCCAAGGTCTGTAGGTGTTCTCTTCTAACTAGCACCTGCAAGCTATAGGATACACATGGCTCCTACAGGCTGTTATGAACTGTTTACAACTTAGTTTTCCTGCTGTTTAATGGTAGAGTTTGGGCATCCCTATGCTACAGCTACTACAACGGCACTGCAGCACAGTAGTATAGACACTTCCTACATGGAGGGAAGGTTTTTTCTGTGTGTCGATGCAATTAATCCATTTCAAGATATGGTAGCTGGATGGGGGAAGAATTATTCTGTCAGCTTTCATAGAATCATAGAATATCAGGGTTGGAAGGGACCTCAGGAGGTCATCTAGTTCAACCCCCTGCTCAAAGCAGGACCAATCCCCAATTAAATCATCCCAGCCAGGGCTTTGTCAAGCCTGACCTTAAAAACTTCTAAGGAAGGAGATTCCACCACCTCCCTAGGTAACGCATTCCAGTGTTTCACCACCCTCCTAGTGAAAAAGTTTTTCCTAATATCCAACCTAAACCTCCCCCACTGCAACTTGAGACCATTACTCCTTGTTCTGTCCTCTTCTACCACTGAGAACTGTCTAGAACCATCCTCTCTGGAACCACCTCTCAGGTAGTTGAAAGCAGCTATCAAATCCCCCCTCATTCTTCTCTTCTGCAGACTAAACAATCCCAGTTCCCTCAGCCTCTCCTCATAAGCTTTCTCTATGAGAGCGGTTAGGTCCACATAACTATAAATTTTTCATAACATGGAATAACATAGCTAGCTCAAGCTAATTTTTAAGGATCAGGCCTCAGTTGAAGTCAGGGCCAGATTAACTTTTTGTGGGCCTGGCACCAAACTTATTTGTGGGCCTCTATGTGGTTGTGATCAGCCCCTTCCAAGTGTGGGCCCAGCATGACAGCACCATTGATGCCATAGTAAATGTGGTATTGCTGGGATGGGAATGAAAACATTTATTCAAAAACAAGATATTTGAAGTCAAACTGAGACCTCCACTCAGCCCACAGAGAACAAACTTGGCTAACATCAATGTACCCAGAACACCACTGAATTTGGTTTGTGTGGGAGGGGGATTGTTTGTTAGTTCTTTCTTTTTTCTTTAAACACTCAGGACCTGCTCGGGGCCCTGAACACAAGTGCTTAATTAGCACACTTATGAGCCACGTTAAGCCTGGATGTAGCAGTCAGTGGTGTCGCACCTGCATCTCCCCATCACCACCTGCTCCACCCAAAGTTATGTTTCGTAAATACATTTTTTGAAAGCTGCATTTTCTACTTTGGTACAATAATGTTTACAAAACTTTGGGGCAGAGTGTGAGAAGGTAAGTTGCTGGTGCCCATCTTTTGCAGGGAGAAAGGGCCATTGAGAGACACACACACACAGACTTTATCACAAAGAATACCACAATCCAGCCTCAAGCTCCTACCCCAATCTTCACACCTGGGCTCTCCTGCCCCTCCCCCCCGGTCCCTCCTACTGTTCCCATCCCACACAACTGCCCCCTAACAAAGGCTCTCAA